TCCATCAGTACCACAGTGTCTGTTTTCCAGTTTGAAAGCTTTATTATAAATTTTGGCTATTTGACCTTATTTTCGCCTTCAGTTCAGTCACAGATCAGGGACAGAGTTCATCTAGCACCCCAAATTAACCACACGATGCTCAATGAATTTTGCTATCTATTGCAATAGCAATACTTTCTTCCTTCATATCCCATTTCCCATGGGAGCTTTTTCACTTCTCCAATGTCAAATATAATAATCATCACTGAACACTAAATTATTCTTTCAGTTTAAGAGCCATACCTAGTTATCTTTTGTTCTTACTGTGTCCTATCTGCACAGTAATTATAACATTTTATTACTGGCTTTCCTCTCTATTGATTTCAATATCTTTTGCTTTTTTTTTTGTTTTTTATATATATAAAAACATATATAGGTTAAAAAAGAAGCATTTCAAATTTTTACTACACCCATCTCTATTTTTGTATGAATATGTATGTTAAAAAAAATAATCATATTTTCAACAGCCAGGGATAAGACTAAGCAAATAAGTTTCTGTCAACACACGTACCCAAACACTGAAATAACTATTTAAACATGAAACACAAATTCTGAAAACATAAATAGTAAATATTTCCACTTTACTAAAAACAAATACTGAGAAAGCAACTAGAACATCATTAAAACAGCATAGGAAGGAAGGTGCGTTTTTTTTTGGTTTTGTTTTTGTTTTTTTTAACTCTACTATATCTTCTCCCTTTTGACAAGATTTGGGTTATTACTTGATTTCTGGGTAAAGTGATGAACAGAGTCCCAGTCCTTTTGTTACTCTCAGCCTGCTCACACGACTAACAGGTAAATGTCAAAATTCCTTTCCGATGCCCTCTCTGGCTCCAGGCTTTTATAGAACAGATATTTTGCCCTATTAGTTAACCACCCCTTCAATGCCACAAAAGATGCCTCTTGCAAACCTTCAGGCAACTCTGAGTGAAACCCTGAGCACCCCTTGTGCAAGAGCTGTGCATTTTTAATTCTTATCAGAGGTAAAGGAGGATCCTACTTGCTTGGGTGGTTCTTTGCTGCTTGATCAATGTTCATCTCATTATGCCCAGCATTAGCTCACAGGATTAGCTGATAGTCAGTGGTATGCAAGGCTTGACGTAGAAGAGAGAAAACCTATTAAATTTAATCTTGCAGTTTTTCCCAGAGAACAACAACAAAGTAATTTACCCCCTTATTAAAGAGGTTATCGAGGGCAAAGCTATCTGCATTTAACTACTGTCTGCCTCTTTTGTGCATGGATATTACCTATTAGTGCACAATGTTTTAATGCACTATTAGCCTAAAACCAATATTTGGGGACCTATTACATTGGCAGTTTAGTTTTCCTGTGTTCCTCTGAGAAAAAGTAGCGAGAGAAATATGAAGATTAAATTATTAAGATATAATTAATTTTCCTGATTCTAAAGCACGATTCTTTTATGCTGCTTATCCCAGCTAATGAAACTCCGATTCAATTAGTTTTTGGGATTTGACACAAAAGGTCTTACCAGCCTTCACAAAGAACTGTAGAAAAACATTTTCTGAAAGCAAAACTCGCTAGCGATTATTTAAAAATGTAAGACAGGAGAAAGATGTGACCAAAGTGTTTAGGTACATGGGTAGGAATTCTTTTAAATCTCAACTGAATTTTATTTTTACAAAATGCATCTTTAATAGTAAATATTACAGATGTTTCTCTGTGTCTTTGAAGACCTCAAAATCTGGCTATAGAACAGAGTGGCTGAGGCAAAGCTTAGATATGTCAAGGTAATATAAGTCTGACTTTTTCTTTTTGGTTCCCTGTCCAGAACAGATTTGAGCTAAAATCCCAGGACTTTTGGAGCTAACGCTATGAGCCTTGTGGGTACCAAAACCTTAGTCAAAATTTTATAACAAATTTTTATTCCCAGTAATCAATGTGGTCAGAATTCCACTTTTTAAATTCAGTAATGAATTCTTTTACATATCCAAGGTTATGAATAGCTTTCCAGCATCTTTTTTTTTTTTTAAAAAAAAGGTATTATTTAAATGTACTTGTATCTTGATGTCTGAGGTTTATTACTTGACCAAAAATACATATTCCAACATTAAAAATAATATATATTTTAATTAACAAGCTAATGTAAATTATTTTCTTTCATCCCTGTATACAAGTATTTGCATAGGCTGATATATTTGTATTTATTCAATGCAGCTTGCTATCAAACTGCAATCCACTGAAAAAATGAACTTTAATGTCAACTCAGCAAACCCTCTACTCTCCCATGTCACTGTTCATTTCAAAAGTCCCATGGCGGGGATGGGGTACTTGGAAAAACGATCTAGAGCATTTTAGGACTGCCAGTATGGTCTACTGGACACTTTGGCGAAGTTTATACTAAAACATTAAAAAGTGGCAGGACGCAGGCCAGAGCACTGGAACTCAATCATCTAATGCAGCTAAATAGTCGCTGGCATATTTGAGAGTCACTTACGGCTCTCCCAAACAATTTGCAGGCACTATTTGGAGGGCAGCACGAGTCAAAGACCATTGCCACAGGATGCAACTATTCTGTTTTAGAGGATAAAATGATTTTACAATATCAACATAGTTGTATCAGTTAGGCCTGAGGCCAGAATATGGGCTCGGGTATTGTTTTGTTTCTGTGATAGTGGCAGCTTCTGACGCCATGGGGAAAGGTCATATTAGAGCTGGTGACCTATTTGTTTGGGCATATTTGGCAAACAATCATCTAGATAGTAAACGCCTGCTTTCTGACAACATTTTTTAAATTAGCCAAAAAAAAGCCATTTTGGTTTTTGGGGGCTCAAACTTAAAAAAAAACAAAACAAAAACAAAAACAAACCAGAACAGTTTTTGTGGGTTTTTTTAAATAATTTTATGTAAGATTAAAAGGCATATGGTAACTGGAATTTTCAAAGAGATATATATGATCAGGGTGTCTAACTATTCTGCTGTCAGAAAATATCACACAAACCCACAACTATTTATAGTTCTTTCAAGCTACAAGGTTAAAAAGGGTCTGCAGGTTACCTTCTAGAAAGATTCAGACCAAAAGCCAAGAAGCCTCTGTTCTAATAGTAGTTGTCATCATTTTTAAAAGATTAAAATGACTTGAGAGTTCTAAAAAGGAATATCACTGGACTGTAACTAATATATAGGACACATATGTAGAAAAACTTGCAGAACACAATATAGACTGAATATATTACGAATAAAATCACTTACACATAAGCTAATGTTGCTTGACCAGGCAGCAAGTGTTTCCATTTCATCAATTTTTTTTAATAAAAAGTTTGGGTTAAGTTCCTAATTAATGAGAGGGCAGAAAGTTGACTGGAAAATTCAGTAGAATTCTCACTAATGAAGTCCACTTTGGAAAAATGAGCTGAAGGAACTGTGGAAAACATTAAGCAACAATGGGCATCACAGAATCATAGAATAGTTTAGGTTGGAAGGGACCCTGAAGATCATCGAGTTCCACCCCCCCTGCCATGGGCGGGGACACCTCCCACCAGACCAGGCAATGAATCAGCATGGCAATGAATCAAGCAAAAAGACAGCAGGCAACATGATTTTAATTCTAGTGAAATTAATCCTGAAGAAACAGGATTATCTGTTATACCGTATGTTTGCACTCTATTGTTATTATTTAATTATTAGAAATAAGGGATCAAAGCAGTGTCTCCACATTCTGTTGAGTGGCACAAGTTGCACCCTCTCACTCAAAATTTTGGTCCCGTGAACAAAGAAAAGCTTGCCATGTTTCCACTTTGATTTCTGCTGAACTCCCTCTGGCTAGAGACCATACCACCTTGGTGGTCCTTACTAATAAATGCCTTTACAACTACTCTCAACAAAAGACTGACAGGAGTCTTGGTAGGGAATAAGGATTTTCAAGATAAAAATCCAATCAGTAGTATCCTCTGGAAGACACCAAATGATCGCATTACCTTAAAATATTTAGTGTAAATAATCAAACACAATCATTTACGTCCTACACTTCACATACATTGGTCAAACTTGTCGACATGGGCAGCTTCCTGCGTGACTTCTGCATCATCATTACTGGTCAATGATCCTAAATGCCTTTGCAAATATAGAGAAGGGCATTTAATAACGCTTTTCTGTAGCAATTCATTGTAAACACTGCAGGGCAGGTAAAGGCATACATACTCAATATTTAGGAATCATACTAGAATTGAAACAAAGTCTATACTGTTTCTCACCAGTTCTGCTGAGAGAAAAAACAAGGAAGGACCTTTGATTTTCTGCAATTGTTATATATTTTCATTAGTCAGCCATATAAATTACAGATCAGTATTTAGCAATGCGCATACATACACTTCAAGTAAAAGCTTTCACTAAAAACCTTTCTAAATTTTCTCTTTCTCAGTCTACAGACGCTTTAGTAAGTTTCAGACTTGATCTTTTACTAGTTGATTATTTTGCCAGTTCTGTGAATATGTACAGAAAACTTTGGATTTTTTGCATTTACAAATGTAGCCTCACTTGGTAACGAATTTTTGAAGTGTGTGTGTAGCATTCAAAAAACCCAACAACCTGGAAACACCACTTGAAGAAATAATCTGGGACTGTTTACTTTAACTTGATTTATATATTCTGTAATGGCTCATAAAAAAAATCAAAATCTGGGTCTGATGCTATTAAACAGTACTGTACTCAATTGACCTTAAAATAGCCTGACTATTCCAGTCTCTGGGGAAAGTGTACTTCTCAAGGATTCTTCTACTGGAGGCAAGTAATTTATAAAAAGTAAGGTATTTTACATTTTTTCCGATAAAAGTTTGTGGGTTTTTTTGACTAGTTAGAAAAAACTGGAATCTACCAGTATTTTGGATATGTATAAGTCATTAAGTAGGCAGTATATATTACTATACAGATATTTGCTTTTAATCTAGACTCAATAATTTTTGAGAATATTTGATTTTAAAACAACTTTTTGAACACCACCTACTTGAGGTCTTGGGAAGGTTCTGCTCTGATATGGGGTGTCTCCACAGAGTGCCCAAACACTGCCCCTTCCGTGCCTAAAATACATAAATAAAATACAGTACAATTACTTTGGAAAATAAAAACACGTTGAAATGTATGACCAAAAATTGACATTTTAAGGACAAAATATCAGATTGAATCCTTTATTAATGACTATCAATGTTTCTTCATATTTATGTTTGCATTTCTGTATCAAAATCTGGACCGACATCACGTGAAACCTTAGACTTCTGCTTATCAGCAGATGAATTTCACATACAAACCTGAAGGCATTTATAGATATAAATTTTTCCACACTGATTTGCCTGAATGCACATTTCAACACTTTGGAGATGAATCCTTTTACAGATAAGGAATAGTTTCCTTCCATAAGACTGTTCTCATGGCAAACCTTTGTTCTCAAATAAATTAGAGAGACTTATTGGGAATGTCCTTTGGTCTTGGTGCTGGTAGGGGATACGCATGTATCTCATACTGGGCACTCAAAATCAAGGCAAAAGAAATGGGTAACTATTTCCTAAAACTGAATTGATTCTCTATTGAATTTTAATTTCTATAACTAGGTCCAAGTTGCATATGATAATTCTACATTTTGAATTACGTGACCGAGATTTTTCTTTGAAAAACTAATTTTCAGTGAAAAAAATAGGGTTCTGATAAACGCTCACTGAAGTTATTTGAAAATCTGACAAATATTTACACAATGCATTTTTTAAATGCAATTATTTTTTCAGGAGAATGAAAAGACCAAAAAAAAAAAAATTAAAATTAAGAACTGATTACAGCAAGCTCTTTGTTAAAATAATAGAAAACTCAATAAACTGACTTGTAGTGAACAGCACTATAAAATCAGTATTTCTCTTACCTCTCAGACACAAAGATTGAATGCATAACAGTAGGTTATACTACTTGATTTACATTTAATAGATAGCAATAGCCTACCTATTTCATTAGGCATTCAGAAGTCTCATCTTTTTTTTTTTTCTGAATCTTATCCTCATGTCTACTTTTGTTTACTGATTGGTCCAATGCCATAATTTTTGTCTTCCACATATAAACTTACTCTAACTTTTTTGCTTTGAAACAAAATCCATGTGCCTGTAAGTTTTTACTTCTCTTCTCTGAAGATGGTGTACTGGGCACTGTGAATGAAAATAGCCCAGAACTCTTGTCTGAAACACTTTCCAAGATAGAACCGACAGTAAAGATCAAAGAACTGAATAAAAACACGCGTAAAACAGGTCATGCGTTTACCTTCTATCACTAGAAGGAAACTGTCTGGGATAACTATAGCCGATTTCTGAATATTCTGTGATTAATTGCGGTATTTCAACAACAGAAATTTTCTTGTGTTCTGAGCCCTGAATTCTGAGTAAATTTAAAAATATACCAACAATATCTCACAGTAGCTGTGTAAGAAGTGCTCAACACAAAGGAGGCACCACTTTCATTGCTACAATATTTGAAATACAATAAAGTATTTTCAATTATTTCAATATTTCATTTAAATATTTCACAAGTACTTTTAGAAATTTTGGCTGTTAACGGAGATGTATATTTAGATATTTTTGCAGCTAAACAATAACATTTAGTAAACTGATCTTACCAGTATTTGAAAGCAGAATGAGGTCATAGAATGTTTAATTGATAACAGTTTTACAGTGTTAAATAGAAAATGTCCTGAGCTAGAAGCCAAGAAAATCTAATTAAACGTTAAACTAAATTACTGTCAGAAAATTGTCATTCCAAGTCATCTTCTAAACTCCACTTTAATTTAAAAAAAAAAAACCACCCACAGCTCAAAAAGAATCCACTTCATGGTAAAATACTCTACTTGTAAAGAGCACGCAGGACAGGAATAGGGGATTTCTGAAAGTAATGAAGTAAAGTCCTAGTTTTTTTATCTCCAGAAATCTATAAGCTTTACAAATATCTTGGCAAAGCATATGGAAAACAATTTCATTACAACTGCTGTTTTGAAGATCTCACAAGAAAACAGCCGAATCCTCTTTCTACAACCAAACTTTGTTGAGTGTTATGGAGAACCACTGAGGGAGAAAGCAGCACATCCTTTTACCTAAAAGTATCCCACCCACAACTCAAAAAGAACCCACTTCATTGTAAAATACTCTACTTGTAAAGAGCATGTAGGACAGGAATAGGGGATTTCTGAGAGTAATGAAGTAAAGTCCTAGGTTTTTTATCTCCAGGAATCTATAAGCTTTACAAATATCTTGGCAAAGCATATGGAAAACAATTTCATTACAACTGCTGTTTTGAAGATCTCACAAGAAAACAGCCGAATCCTCTTTCTACAACCAAACTTTGTTGAGTGTTATGGAGAACCACTGAGGGAGAAAGCAGCACATCCTTTTACCTAAAAGTATCCACAGAGGTGCTGTGTGGAATCTGCTTTTTAAACCTGACATTGTCTTGCAATTCTGCTACTTTTAAGAGAGAGGAATAGCGTGTATGTATAGCAATTCCAAATAAATCCCCCCTACCACCTTTAATGGCACACAAGAAATTCTACTGGAGCTGAATATCAGAAATCAAAGAGTGTGCTCCCAGATCCCATTCACCTCTTTAATCAGCAAAATTAAATACTTTCAAGTCCCAGGGCTTTTTGTAGTTTTGAAGGTGGCAATGGGATATGAAGATATAAATAACTGAGCAGCATGCAGAATTGTCAGTCTTTACTTATGAGAAGCTCACAGCTATAATGTTTGAAAGAGCAGAATCAATCCAAAGATGCAAAAAACGTCACTGTAGTACAGGTCAGACACTAAATCTGTCAGAAGTTCCAAAGATAATATCAGGCAAAGACAGATAACAAAAGATAAATGACAGCTGGTTCTAAGCCAGCTTTAGTATTTCCTCACTTTCAGCAGCATTTGTTTAAAAAACCAGAAAGTGTTTCTCCTCTAAAAAAATAGAAATTTGGAAAGAAAGACCAAGTTGTCCAAGCAGACTGAAAATCCAGGCAGGCAGAGTTAAGGATAAACTGATATAACTAAATACAACATAATTAAAACTCAAAATAAACCAACCGTGTTCCTTTTTCTTTTTGAAGATACAATCCCACATATAGTAAGTACAACAGTTCTTGTGGGAAATGCTTTATCCTCAAAAAACATGCTATAAACAAGTTCAAGAATATTTCCCATCCCTTTTATTTTATACTAGAAGAAAAGCTGGCACTTAAAATTACCCTGGTTTTAGTAAGAAAGGTGAAAAAGATCAGCCTGTCAGAATTTACTGACGTGTATCCAGCAGCTAAAAAGCACGATCAAGAAAAATGGAAATAAAATAGCAAATAAAAGATACGGATCAGCATTACGTAAAAATACAGAACAGAAGAAAAACTATAAGAAGGTATTCTTTATTTTTTAATTTACTATATTTAAATTTGTAGTGCTTTGATAGTGATGATGTTCTATCATGTAGTTCAGTACTACTTAGGAAATGGTGCTACAAACACTATGAATAATAAATATAACTATAAATTAGTATTCAAAGTGAAGAGCATTAATTTTTCAATGAAATAAATTTACTTTAGGTATTTAATAATTTATAATGGTAAAACACTTATTTTTTACAGAAATAAGACAATGATCTATTAATTGTATTCCCTCACTTACCGAATTGTACGCAAGACCTACTTTGAGATGAGTGAAATTCTAGAGAGAGATGAATGAATAAAAAAAAAAAGAATAAAAAGAAAAGACTTGAACCTTCAAGCCCTTTCAAGTACAGCTCAAAGGGAAGCAGTTACGGAACTGAATTCAAAGGAACATGAGTTAGAATGGATAACTATAAAAAGTGAACCTTTCAGAGGAAATCAAATAGCAAGGGCACGGAGTATGTGCAAAGGATGTAAAATCAAAACTGTAAGTGTAACTGAATAAAGTTACTGCCACCTCCAGCTTCCAGAGGAAGAGAATGAGTTAAGTAAAGACTTCACTAAGAAAGAAGAACCTGTGTGAAGGCAAATTACTGGTCAAAGAATAACAGTCGCTGTAGAGATTGCTGGAGAAAACTCATCAAGTAGCAAGAGTCAGGCAGAAAGGCAAAAAGTCCACTTGTGTATTTATAGAGAAACCTCTTTATGCATAGCAGATTTATGAACACCAGACCTCTAAAATATACTTTTTTTTGACACGGAGCAAATCAAAATGACTCTTTCTCTACAAGCAAAACTAGTCATACATTCCTGCTGAAACTGAATGTTCAGAGAGAGCGGTGTAAACTACTCATTTTAGTGGTGGTTTTGGCAGTGTTATGTTGATGGTTGGACCTGATGGTCTTAAAGGTCTCTTCCAGCCTAGACTATTCTATGAATCTATGATTCCATTTCTCCTCAACTTAATGAATTTAACTGAAATTCAGCCTTTGGGAAATGACAAGTTTCATAAAAACAATGGAAGTACAACGTTGGCATTTGGTACTGGGTTATATTTGCTTATGTATGTGCACGCTGAGGAAATTTTCTCATTTATTTAACCAGCAAATGATCCTTTCTTAATTTATGAGTTAGCTCACACAACAACACTGTTACCTCTCAGTGACTTAATAACTGACTAGCATGAAAACACCAACACCTGCGCATATTGATTAGCAGAGGTGGTTTTTTTTTTGTTGTAAAGAGAATGCTGGCTCAAGAGTTGATGAGCCAAGAATCAAAAACTAATAAATTATTTTGCCATATGAGCCATGTATTAGCATGAGCCATCTCCTTGTAAGGACATAATTCTTGTAAGCAAATCACCTAAAATATACCGACAATGGAATTGTGTAGCATTTTGATGTGTACAAATTATACGGCATTACAGCGTCACACGCACAGCTGAATCTTACTGCCTTGATGTCTCTCTAGGTTTTTCAGAAATGTCAAGTAACAATATGATTAAGTACTAAGATTATGCAAGTATTAGACTGTAATGCCAATTTGTCCTCTGAGTTAGAGTTTAAAGAAAAGTTTGTAAAATTTTTATCATTTTTGAAGCTTGCAGTTTTACTTGTTGCAAACTCACTA